ATCAATTTATAATATAATACTTGCCATCTGGTTATTATAATGGAATAAAAAATAAAATTATTTAATTAGATGATGTTTTAATAAAAATTATTTTGTGTTAATTTATAGTATAATACTTACCATCTGGTTATTATAAAGAAATAAAAAATAAATTATTTTAGATGATCTTTAATAAAATTATTTGTGTTAATTCATTTCTACAATACTTACAATCTGGTTGGTTATGAAAAATAAAAAATATTTTATTAGATGGTGTTTAATAAAATTATTTTATGTTGTAGAAGTTAATTTGACAGGGTTGGAAAATTGTGATCCATTGAGAACTGATGGACTTTAGACTAGTCCATTGCCATCAATAAAATACTAAATATGGTTAAATGTTACACCAATGAACCCGATGGATCACCAATGGACCACATTTTTGCCACCCTGATTGTAGTATAATACTTACCATCTGATTATTTATAAAGAAATATAAAATTTTTTATTTAATTAGATGCCTTAATAAAAATTATTTTATGTTGTAAAAATTAATTTATAGTATAATACTTACCAGCTGGTTATTATAAAGAAATAAAAAATAATTTTATTTAATTTAATAAAAATTATTTGCGTTGTAAAAGCTAATTTATAATATAATACTTACGCCCTGGTTATTATAAAGAAATAAAAAATAAAATTTATTTTATTGAGTGATGTTTAATGAAAAGTTTTGCAAAAGTTAATTACAATATAATACTTACCAACTGGTTATTATAAATAATTAGGTGATGTTTATTTTGTGTTGAAAAAGTTAATTTATATATAGTAAGATACTTACCAGCTGGTTATTATTAAAAAATTGGTTTAATTAAATATTTTAAGTATTGTAAAGTTAATTTATAGTATAACACTTACCAACTGGTTATTATAAAGAAATAAAAAATAAAATTATTTAATTAGATGATGTTTTAATAAAATTCTTTGCGTTGTAAAAGTTAATTTATAGTATGATACTTACTCCCTGGTTATTAAAAAATAAAATTATTTAATTAGATGATGTTTTAATTTTATTGTAAAAGTTAATTCATTTACCTTTATCAAATTCAGCTAAATATTATTTTATTATAAAGCAAAAAAATATATTAAATTAACCTATTACTGTATATTTTTAAAAAAGTGTAGGGAAAAACTACCTTCGCTCATTGTTTGTAAAGAAAACTAGCGATTGACAATAGTAATAGCAGGCAACCACTACACACATTTATTGTACAGTGCGTGTCACAGTAATACATCCACTTTTTATTACAGTCAAATCTCGCCACGGTTCCAGCCAAATAAATTCGTTATGTCACGTCTTACAATATTTTGATTTTTGGATTTTATAGGCCTTAATTTACTATCATATTAACAGAATGAATAACTAATTCTACATCTTCGAAATCATCAAAGTCAAAAGATAACACGTAATTATCATTTCAGCATTGTATATCTCTGGCTTTTCTAACACCGGGCAAGGGGTTGAACTCCCCAGTCATTTTTATTACTTTATATAAAAGGAAAGTTTACTTTGATATAAAAGCAGTCAGATGATCAAAAGTATATCTTAAAGTATTGTACGCGGTTTTTTAATATATGCAAGTATTTCAAAATGATGTAAAAATGGTAATTGCGATCTTCGAAGAAATAAATCAAGTTTTAGTATATTATAATAGACAGAATATTCATCGTTTATATTTTGACGTACTAATTATGTGACCATTCGAAGTCCATTTTTTGACCATGAGTATGGAGAATTTCTAGCAAGTATTTTGTTGGAATCTGTATTCACGTACAGTCTACTCTCTCTATAACGACCCTCTCTATAACAACCACTAAGTAAAATTTCTCTATAACGAACTTCCCCTTTGTCCCCGTTTCAATTTTTTATAATTAATTTCTCTCTCTATAACTACCAAAAGCAGAGAAATTACATATAGTGTTCGTTATAGAGAGAGTAAACTGTACATAAATTGGAAATTCAGGAGCAGGAACATTAAAGTAATGTAGTCCCAATGCCATACGTGACGTTTTTTATAGAAAGGAACCAAATGACAAAAAACAACGTTTTAAAAATAGTATGATATTTAATTTATATTATCTCAAAATTTTATTAAGCAAAGTGGGTGTGATTTCTAAGCTCAAAACATTCTTTGTGATGAGTTGTACATAGTATTAGCATTGTTAACCAAAAAAATTTGGAAGTTGCATTTAGACTCTTTCTATAAAAATACCTTATATGTCTAATTCCAAAGAATGGGATCCTGACCAGAACTTAATCTTAATAGCATTCGACTGTAATTTGACTTGTATATCTTCATTGATGTTATTAAATCTCTAAAGAGTTCAGTTAGGTTTTAAAAAACAAACTTGATACTACTTTAATAATTATATATATAAAATACATTTTTAAAAGTTTAAAGAAGAGAACAACTTCTACTTAGTATGTGATATTGATTATTGTGCTGATTTTTTGCTTTGAAGTTTACATGAAATTAACATAGAAGCAATGAAGTTTATCATCTGACTTCAAACAAGTCAATTTAACCCTTTTATTTAATACACAAGGTATGTTTTTTGTTATTTGTTTGCAAAGTGCAAAAATGAATTATTAAAGCGATTATCCGAGATTAAATTATAAATTTCGACTCTTTAAATTAGTAGATAATTTTTGATATTATTTTTAAAGTTTACAGCGCGTAAAACATGTGAAATCAAGACAAAAACTGTTTATTGTGGATTGATACTGTATATTGCCCGATCTTTTTTCCTTATTCGTAAGGACTAATATATCAGCAGAAGAACAAATATTTCATCCTTTGGCAGTTCACTTAAAACTCTTTTTACCACTACTGACTCGTTGGTTTTGATTCCTTATCGTTTCAAATCCTTTACCGTATTCTCATCAGAATCTATTGAAGGATATTTCACAAAGTATGCGCGGCAGTAAAATTCACCATCTTCAAATTCTGATAAGTTGAAGATGCATTTATTGTCTCATCGTTGAATTTTATAAGAAGACCTGGTACATAGCTACGTAAAGGTTCGTTTAGCCAAGTGCGCATTCATAAAAACCCTCGCTTCCACTAACAAACATTTCAAGAAAATTATGTTTTTGTAGTTTCGAAGATGACGTATGGAATGGGCGACTGTGATAAGTTTTGAAACTAAAGGAATCTGATAAGTCGACGTTGTTGCAGGAATGCAGCTGTGAAGATCAAGGTTTGTTGTATTTTGATATTTTGCAAGTAAGTCATAGTTGTAGACGAATATGTACTTAGAATGCAGGTATTAAAAAATAAAAATTAACAAGAGTAATTGTTTGACGAGTCAAAGAATAGAGAACGATAATAATAACTTCGCTTGTGAATTATTATTTACAACTATTTAAAAATGAAATCATTATAACTTTGTTGTGGGAATTATTTTTTGTAAAAGATTGACATTGGAAAAAAAAATCGAATTTGCGAATTTCCGATCAGAACGATTACAAATAAAATAGATTATTATATTTGATAAAAAGAAGTTATTTTTCTTCTAATCCATTCAGTATTTCCGTACTGCACTCCATTGAACCTGATTTTCAATAACTTCTATAAAAGATTTGCCATTACTACTATTTATTTTACTTTGTATTTCTGATTCCCAATTGGAACAACATTATCTAGAATTTTTTCGTTATTTATTATTATTATATTAATATTTGTCGTACCAAAATTTACATTTGTACAATAAGTCCGTCAGTCCAATTGCCACTTTTTTTATTACGCCAATTAGACCGAAAACTGCAAAGGTTAAAAATAATAATAATAAATAAATAATAAAAACAAATATAAACTTTATTAGTAAAGAGTTTGATATTTGTAACGATTATTTTATTCGTTAATGAATTTATATGGATATTATTACTCCAAGATTTACGCTTGCTTGAAGTAGTATATATATTACCAGCGAACATTATTTGAATTTCTGTGCGGTTATTCCTGTTATACAACATTAATAGGGAAGAATACAGGTAAATTTTCTAGTTCTAAATCCAGGATTTGACCTTGAGTGATAAATAAGTATAACAATAAGATTCATTATTAATTAAAAATCAAGTTAATATCAATAGTATTTTGTTCAAGATCACAAATTTTATTATCAACCAGCGACAACACATCCTTAGCTATGTTTCTTGGCGATAACATTCTTATTATCCTCTACTAAAAGCTGGTCATCACTACCACTTCATAATTTGTCAAGTAGAGAATTCTCGATAATGATTTTAATTAAATAAAAGTTATTTTTTTTAAAAGGAAATAACGAAACATTCAAGAATTTTATTTTGACGTGTACAAATCATCTACGAATAATAAATAATGGTGGAAAATTTCCTTAAATAATTGAATTAGATTGAATAGAATGAATTTGAATTAGAGTTTAGAATTTAGAATTCGGATTAAAATTGGAGTTACACGGGATATTTTTATCGAGTACTTTAAGGGGATCGATCGATTTGTCGAGTTTATCTGTGTAGCGTTAGAATTTAAGATTTAGAATAAATCCCGCTGTCACAAGGCGGCGAACTAGGATCATTTTGGGTAATGATATGTGTTGCGCCAATGTAGTGTTACTTGATCATCTAGGGGTTAGCGTTTGCAATATCAGAATATTCATTCATGACATTCGACGATCACACCGTTTTAGAAAGATTACTACTTATTATTATGAATTATTATTACATAGTAACTGTGGTCACTAAACACGATTACTCCCAAGTACAGTTACTTTAGGGGTGTCATTACTACTATGTAGTAATGGTGTGTTTTAATTATTCGAATTAAATGTAACAATAGTAATAGTAACAGTAATAGTGATAGTAATAGTAATAGTAATAGTAATAGAAAAAAATTAAAATCAACCGACAATTGGAATGTTTACGATTTTTTTTTGCAAATTATTTTTTATTTAATTATTATTATTATTTAATTTAATGATCATCAACGTAATTTAGTCGATCTTCTTAAAGCGTAATAAGATAAAATTCTTATTCCAATACAAATAAAAATCAATATTATAACATCTTCAAACCATTTCAAGTCATGTAAATGAAGTCTATCTAATACAGAAACACCAGGTAAAGTAGCATCTGAATTTGGATTTAAACATTCGCTGTAATCACTTTTTTCACCAAAAGATGAACATTTAAAATATGATCGACTTGTGCCGAATTGAATCAACATTAATAAGGAGTATGAATAACGACTGAACGACTATTATCGGAAGTAAAGAAAGATCAATAATGATTTACTTGTAAATTAAATTGAAATTAAATTGAATTGAACTAAAAACTTACAAGATATTGTGACCATTCTAATCCGTAAGGTAAATTTTGTACATAGAAACCACTCAATAACATAGACGTCAAGACAAATATCGTGGAAACAGCTATAATAATAATGAAATAACCATAATTAATTTTAATTGCTAATTAATTTAATTAATTATAAAATACAGTTAAGAAAACTTACATATGCTTTTTCGAATATCTAATAGAGCTGCACCAAATAAATAACCAAAACTTTGGGCGGTTATACTCGTTAATAACATTGTGAACTATTTTTTTTTTAAAAATCATAATTAAAAAAAATTAATCAATAAAAATTAATTAAAACAAATAAAATCAAAGATTTAAATTATCAATTTATTTACCAAATAAGCGAAAAAACTATCAGCATAAGGTAATAAATTAGTTGCCGAATAGGTCATAATAACGAATGCTGCTGGATGTAGTAATATTAACGGCAATTCGGCCAATTGTTTTGCTATGAAATACGAAGATAATCGATAGGACCTTGATTGTCTTTCTTTAGATAACATCTCAATATCTATTGGAAGTGATGATATTGTACCGACTAATGGATGAAATGACCAAAATATTGACCTATATATATAAATAAGTAAACAAAATAAAGCATAAGGTTTACGTACGAAATTATTATTATTATTATAATGATGATTATAACAACGAATTAAATACTTACGTAAAAGAGATCTGTAAATTATCCATAACAATAGGAATAAAAATTAATTAATCATTCAATAATGTAATGGTGATGATGATGATAATAATATCACGCGAACAAAAACTTACCAAACCATATCTATCACTAAGGTTTTGTTCTTCAAAAGGTATTCGTAACCAAACTAAAATAACAACAATTCCCAAAGCAATTGTTTGTATAACATTAATTTTTGACAAAATTACACCTTTTTGTTGTTTAAAAGATCTTTCTGCTAATATCTTTATCTGTTGTGAAAATGTAGCCTCCCAGCGATATTCAACTGTTATTCGTTTATTTGATGGAATTGTAACTATTGTTGATGAGGAAATTTGATTTTCTTCAAATGCAGAAGGAGACGATGATAAAGTCGTCGATGATGATGAGCTTTCTTTTGGTGTTTTCATGAATTCGGAACCTTTTTCTTTTCCTTGTGGATCGTTACTTATTTTTTCGGCATAAGACTTTATTAATTTTTTTTTACTTTTATCGTCGTTTAATAATTCCACTTTAAAGAATGGGTTAATAAGTTTAAAAGTTTTCTTGGAAAAAAAATTTATCAGATTTAAACTTTAAAAAATAAAAATATTTACATATATAATCAGCAGGATTGTAATTAGACTGACATTTGAATCCTTCGTTCGCAAGATAATCTACTATTTTCTTTCGCTCGTCAAAATATACCATGCGACCATCGGCCATTAGTAGTAATTTATCCAAAAGCTCAAATACTTGTGAGGATGGTTGATGAATAACCATAATGATTGTTTTAGAATGTTTTAATGCAAAAGTTTTTAAAATGTTTGTGAGTTCTAAAGCCAACGAAGAATCTAAATAATAATAACCATATTTATTTTAGCATAATAAAAAAATATATAAGGTAAAAAAAGTAAACAGTAAATGAAAAATAAATACATACCAAGTCCCGAGGTCGGTTCATCCAATAATATAATGCTAGGATCCGTTAACAATTCGCTTGCAATACTAACACGTTTTCTTTCACCGCCTGAAATACCTCCAAATCCACTATTTCCAATCACTGTGTTTGAACATTTAGAAAGATTCAATAGTTGAATCACATTTTCAACTTGCTTTAATTTGTCACGTTTTGACATTATACGTGGAAGACGCAATAAAGCCTTAAAATTGTAATAGTTGTATGATATTAATAATGATTTATTATCAAAATTATAAATTTATATATAAAAAAATCTAATACGTACGGTATATTTTAAAGTCTCTCGTACTGTCAATTGAGGAAAGAATATATCATGTTGTGTACAATAAGACACAAATCGTTTTGAATCTTTTGTAGGTTTATGACCATTCATAAGTATTGTCCCTTCAACATTTTTACTATTTACTCTATTTCCGAGAAGATTTAATAGAGTTGTTTTGCCGCATCCGGATGGTCCCATTATAGCGAGAATTTCACCTATTAAGCATTTTTTTTATTAATATTAATTATTTGTTATATTAATAAATATTGTTATATTATTATATCAAATATGTTAATAAATATTTATTATATTATTTATTATTTATTATTTATTATTTATTATTTATTATTATTTAATTAATAATAAATAATTACTGTTATTGGTTACTATTATTAATTATTAATTATTTCCTCGCTCGCGTTTTTTATTTACCTGGATTAACACGTCCGTGAATATTTTCAATAATTTTTCTACGTAAATCATGGCTTCCATTTTCTAAATCGTTATTTGTGTTTTTTTTATTACGAAAATAATTCCAAAATTTCCAATTTTCTGTTTTTTTCTGCGGCGTAGAATTTTGGTTTATGTAATAATTTATACCACTCCATTCTAAATAAACAGGATTTTTTTTTGCAACGGAATCTTGTGAATTGTATTCAATCAATTCATTTCTTTTCGCTAATTTTTCTCTTTCGTTTGTTCTATTATTATTAGTAACTGTTACTCTTTCATCAGTAATAATTTCATTATCTTCTGTTATTATATATGGCTATGAATTATAAATTTATTATTATTATTATTCGAAAAAAAAGGTTGCACGAATATTAATATGATAAAATTTTAACAAGCACAGATAATAAAATACCTCGATTGTTAATGCAATATTTTTGCTATTTTCGTTTTTATTTATTTGAGACATGTTTTATTAAAAAAATTTTTTAACAAATTATAAAGCGGAATTAATAAAAAATTTTTGATCTTGAATCTAAAAAAACCTCGAGTTTATATAACTTTTGTGAAGATGGATCAATAATTAACCAAAGCCGTTCATTAGATAATGAATTTTTATTACAATAATATACATTCATATAATTAGCGGGAAAAGTTTTACGCATTTGTTTGTTTTTTAAAAAAAAATTCACAATATGGATTATTATTATTAATTAAAGTTTCGGTTCTATAGTGTAACATTGATCAAGAATCCTGCGCATTATGAAGTTTTTTGTAACTTTGATCAAGATTTTGCGTCATTTAATTGATTCTCGAAAAATAATCTCTTAAACTATGATTAAAAGAATCATTATTATGGCTTTTCTCTTTTATCTATTGATATACTTTAACGATTAGTAATCAATATTTGCAAATGAACAATAATACAAGTAATAATAATAAAGTCCATCTTTCAAAGAAGAGAGAATAATCTAACGATTAGCTGTTTAAGTGTTGTATTCATTTAATTTATAATCACGACATCCTTTTTGATATCATCAAATTTATTTCCACGAAAAAATGTTTCCATTATAGGTTAATCCAGGCACGGATTATTTTTCTGCCAGTTATTATATTGATCGACCGTGATAGATGACTGCGTCATTGTTTTGATGCTAAATACAACTGTGTCATTTGAAGTCCTACGTTACTTACGCAGCTATGAAAAATTTTCATTCCCAATAAAATAAAAATTATAATATTTGATAAATCAAGACAAATCCAAGTTCAAAGACTAATCACAGGTTTATGTCTTTTTGCTTCTGGATTTGTATTTCTTTACTTTTGGTAAATTCTGGTTGTTGACATATTCTTTATTATCATTTTCAACAAATGACCAAAAATCATATATTTGGAATTAGATAAAGTTGTTTTACTTGAAAGACATTTTATTTGGAAGTTGTAGATTTTGAGAATAATATAAGGTGTGAGAATATAATAAGATTTCTCTCCATTCTGTTATTCTGTTATTCTGTTATTCTAATTATTCTTAAAAAAGAAATATTGTAACATGAGAATTACTAATGGTAAAGTCACGTGCACTTATGGAAAAGGTGCATTTATGGAGTATGCATTATGGAAGACTTCAAACTTCAAACCCATATGTACAGTACATTATTGAAGATGTACATTTTAAATCAAAAAAATTTAAAGATTATAATTTGATATTTTAATGAAAGGGCCTAAACCTTTAGAATTATTTCTGTATTTAGGAGTAAAAATCAATACAACGGATTGATTTTAATTTGCTGGGAATCTTAAATCAAAAACCTGGATTGCAATCACATTCATTTGAAAATTTATTACATTATTAAATATCACGGACCTATAGTTAATTTAAAGCTAGCCTGTCACCCTTTTATCAAGCTATCTAATTAGATATGTTTAAGTAACCTCATCTAAATAATCAGGAAAGGTTCATTTTATCTAAATCCATATGATTAGATTGTTATCAAGTTGATTATGATTTAAAAAATTAACAACCAGCAATGAAGAAGATAAACACGAGTGTTTACGCCTAGATTCAATTATAAGAAAAGAAAACTATACTGTTAATAAAAAATAAACCAATAATGATTACATCAGGATATATATATAACAACAATAAATATAGGATAAATACCATTGTTGTTCGAATAGGATAATAATTTTCAACATTACCAATAGATAATTTGCCAACTTCATATAAATTCCAAATACCATTAACTTTTGATTTTAGCAACAACATACATTATTACAGCTTGTGAAGATGCTGCATTTCGTATTTTATATCCACATAACTGCTCCTTAGGTTTATCTGGATTGTATAATTTAAAACTTGGTTTTGGAAAGCTTCAATATTAGGCGAATCCCATGATGACAATATAAAATATAATCTTGTTACATTTGATGGTAAACTGGATAAATTAACTGTTATACAATGATCTAAATAAAAAATTTGAGCTTTTTTCCTTTGAAGATTCTTCACCTTTTTTATTAGCAATATCCATCACATCACCAGAATGAGAAGTACCTTTTAGATCAACATGACCTGTTGAACCATAATTCAATGTTCTGTTAAATAATTTATCATTATACAACATACAAGTCCATCCAAGCAATCACAATTTCCTCCAGGAAATCCCAAAAATAAATCAAACGTTAAATTATTAAGAGATTGGTCCTTAGAAATCGAGTAAAGTAATACCATTAATTGTATGTGGCTTCCTTCTACAATATTATATTCTGATAATAATTTACTCCCAATTTTATTTTGACGAAAAGTCTATTAATTAAGAAAATTAAAATACATATATTATTATATTATAAATATTATATTATGTGTGTTTATATTATTACCTCTAATTCAACTTCGTTATAAATCAATTTTTGTTTAGCGATTTCTACTTTAGTTTTTGAATTTATTGCTTGTTAAGAGCAAGAACATTTCTGACATTCTCTAACTTTAATTGAATCTTATGACCATCTAACATCACAACATAGAAATGTCCAGTAAGATTATTATTATTATTTATAATTTTCGATATTGGAATATTATCGATATCAATCTTGAAAGAAGCTTTGTTCCATGAAATTTTATATCCAAATGTTTTATTAAGCATTTTATACAAAAAGTAGAAACATGTTGACACTTGTTACTGATAACATCATTTGGAAATTCACGAGGTAGTTTTTCAAGTTGACAACTTTTACATTTCATTTTTCTTGAAAAAGGGTTATTTTAAAAATAAATATTTATTCTTCCTTATTTGTAAATTTTGTGAAATTTTAAAATAATATTGACACCACCTAACACATTTTCAAAGAAAGAAATTTTTTTCACGCTTAAATGTTAGTTTCTGCATAAACTTACGAGTGACATAACCGGAATCATTTCTTAGATCATACCTATCACATATTGGTGGTAGCAAACTCTATGGTAAAATATAATATGGCACCCTTGACACACCCTTGTAGTTCTCTTCGTTGCAAGATACGTTTTGAACTTTGGATCCAAGATTTTTAAAGTTAAAAGAATTATTTCATAATTCAATCAAAGGATCTATCTTGATTAGTTCTACAATTTCGATTTAGTACACCAATGTTGGTAGTTAATCTACCCATTTTTAAAATTAAATTAATTTATTTATAGGAAAAAAAGTATACGAGGATATAAAACAATATTTTGCTTCAGTGTCATTTTGCTGTCTGGTTTTTTGTAACTTCCTTGTCTTTCTTTCACTTGAAATATATTGTACCAATAATTCCACACTTGTTCTGAAGTCATTTAATTGTTCAACTTCTGGTGGTACTCTTATATTGACCCAGATGATTTAAATTTGAATCTCTTGATGCGTTGAACCTTTGTAATTATTATCACCCTCATCTCCTGAATCTTCTGGATTATTATCATCTTAACCTTTTTCTAGAACATAATAATCTTCCGAACCATTGTTGTTTTTTTCTCCCCTTTCATCGTTAGTTTTCTCTTCATCTTCTAAAATAATTTTCTGTTAATTTTTAAACAAAACATTGATTAATTTACCAATTGAAATCACAATATCATTATTCGTAGATAGCATTTGTTGTATTTAATTTTAATTTTCTCTCATTCTTTTCTTTTACCAAATTGTTATAGATTCCTTAGATATTAGAAATAAATTTAATCAAATTATTTTAGAGCATAAAATAATAAATAAATATTTAAATATTTTTACTCTTGTTATTAATAATTTGTTGAATCATGACTTCCAGCACGAAATCATTTTCAGTTAAAGGAAATTTTTCATCATTGCGATAGTGCTGTTTAAACTACAAAATCAATGTTCTTGTGAATAAACCAAATTTTGTTCATAATAAGTTGTAAATAATTTAAAACTATCTACCCTTTTAATGCAAGACAATATTATTTAGTTGTTCGAAAATCTATGCCCTCTCTTTTCAAATATTTAGACATTTGATTCTGTAAAAGAATGTCAATAATATAAATAGGTTTCATTTAAATTAATACTATAAAGTATTATTAAACATGTCCTATAAGTTCTTAAATCCGGGCTTTCTTCATCACCCTCGGGAAATTCTCCAAGTTTTTCAATGAGTTTTAAAAATAATACGTTCCGACCTCTCCAATTTATCAAATATTTTTTCTCTTAAATCCTTTAAAAGACTAGTAGTCACTATGGTAATAAACAATCAGTATGTATATAATGGTAAAATGTTGAATGTAAACGAACGTAAAATAAATTTGTTTTTTTAAAAAAAAAAAAGTTAATTTTTGTCATTAAATTCTTTTATAAAAAAGTCACATTTAAATTAACTATAAAGTTAATATGATAATAAATACCGTATATTGTGATTACACTAACTATACTAGTTTTGGATAATTGTAGTGTATATACTCGCGTGTGGACATGGTTATCACAATCATTGTCTACAAAGGCGCCAATCTAAATGTTTGATATCTTGAACTATCTTCAAGTCGAAATCAAAAAAAAATGTCAATGCACTAAAAGAAAGTATGACGAAAAGATTAAACGAAAATGAATTTATCGAAAATAATGAAAATGCAGCAAACGATGGAAAATTTATTAGAAAATGCAAAAAAAACATTTTTAGTTGTAAATTTTGTTTTTATTATGTTTTGTCTTAATCGTATATCTTAAATTAGTCGCGTTTACATTTCGTCAACATTCGTTATTGCCTCATTAACCCATTGATGTCTTCATTTGCAAGGAAATACATTAAATAATCTAAAAGTCTCAATCCATTAAAACCCTAGTATATTATTATGCGAAAAATTTAATGATTAAACAACTTATTATTAACATTATAGTCAACTGTATAATTCTCCTTAATTTATTATTTTATTTTTATTATAAGTTATATTTATGTTATTTATAAATACTATTATGTAATAGTGTCTACCGTTGCTAGTTATGTAAACCAGATCTTGATTAATTCAATCAATTTGAATCTTCTGCATCTTCCAAGCGATTCCAAACATTCTCAATGTTGGGACGCAGATCTCTTTCAAATGCCCAACATTCTAAAAAAATTCAAAATTATTAAATGGATAGTTATATATTTATATGTATTTAAAAAATTCTTATTACCTTTATATAAATCTTCATAAAATTTAGGAGTGTCTGGAACTGGAGTTTCACGATGATTTTCATAAACAATTAAATAACATAACCTACATGGCTCATCAGAATATTGTTCAAATGGTGGTTTTTGTGATGAAATCTCCCAAAATAACACACCTAAACTATATATATCAGATATAATTTCATCTCTAAAGAACTTTTTTGGGTTCTTTAGATGCTGAGGATCTAAATAGGGTATTTGTTCAAAATAGTGAGCCAAAGTTTTTTTAGATTCTTCTATTTTTTTGAACTTTCCAAAATTGTGAAGCTTTATTCTACCATTGATCATACCAATGTTGTCTGATCTCTATTATAAATATATTGTTAAAAATTTATCATGAATTAAATATAAAATTTTTAAAGATAATTACCAAATCACCATGAAACATTTCATATTGATGTAGACAAAATAATCCACCAGTTAATTGTTTGGCAAGTCTGAATTTTTTCCTCCATGGTAATTCATTGGCACTTAAATATTCTTGTAAATTATATTCAGCATATTCTAAAACCACAGTAACAGTATTAACATTAGGCTCTTGTGTTAAACCCACATAGCTCAAAACATTGTCATGGGCTGAAACTCTACGAAGCTTTTGCAACTGTATAAATAATTTTTTTATTTAAATGAAAAAATAAAAATTTAATGAATAAGGTTTAAAAAAGTATTTATTAATATTCGAAACCAACCTCTCTAACCAAATGCCTCAGTGTGAACTGAGTACTTAATTTAGATCTTGACAAAGTTACACTACGTTTTAATAGCCTTAAAAAAGCCCTTTGTATTATCATGTCAGTGGAATTTTCAACCAACTCTACATTCTCGAAATCATCGTAATCATAAAACAACATGAAACCATTTACTTTAGCCTTATATATCCATTCTCTGGCTTCTTGATCATCAGGCAAGAGTTCAGTCATTTTTGCTACTTTATTTATATACAAAAGTTTACTTTGATATAGTATTTTAGGAATTTTTTATTTTTTAAAAATAAAACGGAAGGAAAAATTTTAATAAAAAATTTTTAACTGTTATCACCCTTTATTTACATTAAACAAAAAGTCGAGTAACCTATCAATCTTTAAAATCAGTCAGATGATCAAAAGTATACCTTGCTTTAGACAAAGTATTTAATTAATCCTCATTTTGATAATTTTATTTATAAAAGTTTCACGAAAATGGGTTACGTTGTATAAATGAACAAGTTTTTTAAACCAAGATGCAACAGTGAAGGATATTCAGTGAATATGTGGTTACCAAATATATAAACTAATAATCAATATCTTGCGTAACTGAATTGAAATGACTTTTCTCATGTTTGTTCATTTCTAATTAATTAAATTAAACATTACATTTCCATTCATTTAAATTGGAAGGAGAGCATTCAGCTACTATAATAGGAGAAAGTAATAATGAAAGGGGAGGAGACTTCTGCTGCTCATATTTTGAAGAAAAGGGTGGTTCTAAGAAATAAAGTTGGAAAGATGATCCATTATTGTGGTGAAACATAATAAAAATAGATTCCTAAATACTTGTGTACACCTTTAGTCAAGCTGGAAATACAATAACCCCAAAAAGAACAAAACTTAATACACTTTTACTTGATAAGATTGGTTTTTTTTTTGAAAAGAAATATTGGTGATTAATAAATTTAAAATTTTTTGTTAATAACGAACATTTACTGAATAAATCATTCACTGAGTAATTAATTTAATGATCAAATGATTACCTGAATACACCAAATGATTACCTGGACATTTAATTTAATTGATTAAAATGAATGAATATTCAATGGGTATGACCTCTAAGATGATGCATACCATCCACCTAAAAACATTATTATTATACATTAGATGGTAATTGTTTTGCCAAAACGTAATACGTAATTACGAAATTAATTACGCGTTGACAGAATTAATTATGAGAATTGTAGATGAAATCGATTATGAGTGATGTAAAATCCATAAATTTTAATTGTAATTGTTTTGCCAAAACTATAATATGTACTGTAAAGTCTCGAAAGATAGCACCCTACTTTAAAACAATTGAAAATCATTTATTACACGGTTGTAAACAGTTGTAAAAAGGTTGCTACTTTATGGTGATATACAATACATAATTACAAATTGATTATGCGAGACGAAATAATTTCACACATAAATATATTCTTTGTTTCTCTTATAAAAACACTTTTTCAGTAGGAAATTAAACAGTAGGGTTTAATTGTCCGTTTGGTTGTCAGAGTGGTATAGAATATAGAACTCTGGGGTTCCGTTTATTTGCTTTGGTATAGAGCAAAGACTTGAAATTGGTTAACCAGTGTAGCATTAACAGCGGGTTGTATAGAAAATTTTCAGTTTCTTTGATTTCGAATAGCATTTATTCTGTATTGTTGTTATTCGTAATTAATTTCATAATTACGTTTTTTAAAGAGGAAAGGTAGTAATTAATTACAATAACTATTACAGTAATTAGGTAATTACCATCCCATGTATAGAGGTGATATTTAATAAATTTTATTAGTGAAGTTTGAGAAACATACCTGACTTGAGTAGGGAGTAACAGCTAAGAAGGGAACCCACAAAGAAACGTGATCAGGATAAGAAGATATTGTTTAATATTACTTAGCAAGGAATTGTTTAATGATAGTGAAATATAGTTTCAAGAATAAAGCATAAATATACATTTGTGGAAATTGTTATGATTCAGTATAAATAAATTGGAAGAAATTGTATTAGCATTATTGGTATTAAATAAATCATCATCTTCAAGACTCGGATATGATTTCACATTTTGGCGACAACAACAGGACATGATCTCACAATACAGTCAAACCTTGTCACAATGGACTATAATTAAATTCTTGTCATAATGGATTTTAAATAAAATTTCCTTATGTGTATCCCATTCATCTGCTATGACAAGGTTTGACTGTAGTTTCAACAGGAACTAAAATTAAAAATAGATTACAAGATGTAGATAAATTTTTATTTTCCAGAAATATAAATTATATTGTGAGGGTCTGGATTGCTTTACTGACAGGACAATTTGCCGACAACCACTTTACCGACAAGACACTTTACCAACAATCAAGTAAGGTTTCTAGCCCAAACTGTTTCTCAAAACTCGAACTATTTTGACAATTTGGGCTTTTAAATGTTTTTTATATAATAAGGGTGTGAGTTTAACATTCCAAATCATTACTTTTTTTTTCATAAAATTCAAGAAATTATGTTTAAAAGTATTCAAATGTGAGAGAAAAGATTATTTTATTTATTTAAAAATTAAAAATAAACTCATCATTGAATGTAAATAAATTTAATAAAAACAATTAATGAAGTCCGAATTAAGGCTCCGCATGAGCCGGCTCGCAAGCTAAATAACTTAGTAGGCTCGTAAGCTGAATAAGTTTTTTGGCTCGCAAGCCAGCTCGTGAGGAGCTTTAGTCCGAATATGCAATTTTTATCAATTTCTTCAGACAAAAAAAAATTTATACATGTATCTATATTGTATTTTTATGAACAGGTTTTTGATGCAAATAAGTTGTGTTATTAGTTAATGATTTGTGGGACAAGGTCAGTACTCAATCAACAGTTGATTTAACTTGTATGTAAAAAACCAAACTTTTAGCTTCTACAGTCCTTGGCAAATTGTTAAAATAATTTTTGTTAGTAAAGTGTCCTGTCAGTAAAGTAGTTGTCGGTAAAGTGGACAGGACCCCTCGCATTTCATTTATTATTAATAATTATTATTATTATGTTAAAAGGAGGCTAACATCTATCAATTACAATATTTTAATCCAAAAAATATTTTGATTGAAGCTACTGCTTCTAAGTCAAATTTGATCAAATAGAGCCATCTAAACAGCTACAATTCTAATCAATTATGCAGTAGATTAATGACAACATGTAACCTTCAACTAATTCCTGCTTTACTCAACCTGTGGGCTTTTTCATTTGTGTGTATGATTATAAATAAAATGAGACAACATTGCTTCATTGACCCATTGATGTTTACATTTTCAAGAAAATACCTCTAGACAAATTAAATAATCTAAAAGCCACAATCAATTAAAACCCTTGTATATTATTATGCAAAAAATTTAATGATTAAACAACTCATTATTAACATTATGGCTACAACTGTATAATTTTCCTTAATTTGTTATTTTATTATGTAATAGTATGCTAATATGATGACTTCTCTACTGTTGCTAATTATGTGAACTAAATGATGTTCTGTGAAGTTAGTAATAATTATTCTACTAATATTATTCTTAAGTGAGAGAAGGAAATTAAAAACCATTTTAAAAATAATTATTTAAATTTGAAAATTTATTCATTTCATTTATTATATATAAATAAAACCAAAAAATAAATATTGAAGATGGCAGGATATTCAGATAA